AACTGGGTTCGATTGCTCACCTTCGCATAAATCGTTAAGTGAGAACGGATCCACACTTTCTCCTCCCTCTTGCGCAAGTTGTCGCTCTTCGCCCACTCAGATGGTGGAAGAGACTGAGGGGAAGCCTCAGGGTCCCAAACGATATCTTCGAAGGCTTGAAGAAGGCGAATCACCATGAACGACATCTCGTTGTACGCGAACTGGCAGCCCGGGTTTTAGTAACCTATCCGCACCATAATAAGATTAATCGTACCTGCTGACCGAGGCAGATCCTAGGCCCTGCGTTGAACGGAAGGAAGATAAATGGGTTTGGAACGAGGTACTTCTTCATCCGCTCATCCAAAAAGCGGTCGGGATCGAATTCCAAGGCTATTCGGTGCATCTTTAGCTCCCTCTTTCAGGTGAAATACATGACAGTTACCGTCCGGCCCCCATAAGTCTGTTCTACGATGCATGGTGAACACAGAGTAAATCACCCTTGAACCGGCCGGAATAAAGAAAGGTTGACCACCGTTCGGTGCGGGCCAAGTTACGTCTTGGGTTGCGTATCTGAAGTTGAACGGCCTATGAAAGTTCGGGTGTCAGGGGGCTAGCGGGGGATAATGGAAAGCAATTACACAGCAGGGAACAATCTAAGTGTTTCTGTGGGAGATTTTGTCAAACACAAGGTCCTCAATATGCATTTCTCTGTCGGGGCGTACCATTTATTGTCGCGCGAAGGTATTTTAGCTCTCTGAGGTCTTCGTGAGTGGGACGGGCGCTAGGACCGACGCGATCGAGGATCTCTTGTCTTAGCCTTTTCAGCACTTGAGGTTTTTGGGAGAGCATGTATAACATGAATGTGAGCGTTGACGCTGTCTAAGAGAAGATAGTTAATCAGTAAGACTTCAAGTTGTGGGACGGCTGGGACCCTACAGTATCCCTTCCGGCGATCATGATGTTAAACATCTCGTCGCGGATTATCTTATGATCTGCGGGATGTAAAGCTCCAGGAAAGAAAATGATGCAGAATTGGGGCTCACCGTCCGTCAGGTTTACCAGGTGGCTTAGTAGTGTCTCCCCCTCAAGGTCATCACCCGCAGCACCCGCTTTCTTCTCCCCCTTCTTCTTTAGAGCGTGCTCAATAATAGGATTTAGAACTTTTTCAATAACGGCCATCGGTTCAACCATTTTGTCATTCCAAAATTCCACGAGTCCCCAAGCTTCATTCAACCGACTGCGCCTGGCGACCACGGATTGTGCAGTCAGGAAGGCGTCAGCGAATTTGTTTGCAGGGTGATTTCTCGAGGTTTGTATAGGAGCGGAGGGGGGATAGTTTAGCCCTGCTGAGAGCGAACGAATGTCCCTAGGAAACAAAGTCATGAGCATTTGACGCAAGGTGGTGCGTGACACCCCGAACGCAGGGACAAACATTCCAAAGAGAAATTCAGAAGCGGAATCAAGCGTGAACCTAGAGACAACGTCCTAGAAGACTTTCAGAAATGAACTCATGCGACTAGCGAGCATTTTTACCTGGAAATCGACGGCGTAACCTTGGCTCATCCTTTCCTTGACTTGCTTGATCGCGTCTGCTGCGTGACGGTCGAAAATATCAAAGTGAGTGATACGTTCCTTCGAGAAGAATGGTCTGGTCATTCCACGGTGGAACCTGTATCATCGATAAGTGATCCAGTGCACTTGTTATGATCATGGGCACAGGTAATTGCCTCCACATTGCGCCATCTGAATTGAACACCCCGACTCCCAACAATGGGTTCAATACCCTCCTCATCACTTCGCCTAGGGATGGTCTGCCTGGGCATCTTCATCGTGGGACAGAGGACCAAACACGAACCTTTCTCATAGTCATCAAAGCCTGTCGCAAGGATAAGCTACTCAGTCCAAGTCAACAAAGACGCGCTGAACCGGTGCGATTGCACAGACTTTAATGTGCTCCGGTTCTGCTGTGAAGATCTGTACGGGCGCGACGGTTAAAACTGCAAGTGGTTCTCGTAATGAACGGAAAGACGGACACGGTTGCCAAACAGAATTCTGAGATTGAAGGTATGGCCGAACTTTGCAACCAGGTCGCCAATGGGATCACCTTGAGAATGCGATAAGTATGAGTGATAGAAGGATACGTTGGCACACTACCAAGATATATTCTCTCCTCCTTACTCAAGCCCATTATAATCTTGTGGATTGCGCCCGGAACCCAGGTGGGATTATGCGATGGTAGAACTGCGCCAGCTCTTCTTGCCTTGACATGGATGATCAAGTCACTCCAGAAGACCCGTATGCTGAATGCGGTGAGAGGGCTGAGGAGACAGGTCACGAAAGTGACCCATGTCGGCAAGTTGTGAACCTCGTAAGGGCGCAGAACGAATCTATCAACGATTCCAAGCGTCAAAGGAAGGAGTGAAGCCTGCGAGATCGTTGTGGCGAGCACCGAGATCCCGGGAGGTACGCGCATGACGGAGTACTCTCTGACCGAGTTAGCGAGGGAAAGTAGCAGTCAAGTGGCCGCCCTTGATTGACTTGACTCATTTATATACGCGTGGGTTGCTGCGCTTGGCTTCCGCGTCGATCCGGCCGGGATCACCTCCGGTCAGTCTCATCAGCATTTCTGACTTTGTCATGAATCACGATCATGTGAAAAGGTGGAGCTACTGCTTTCAACAAAATCAACGATGATGACGTCGATGCCACTGTCTGTTACTTATCTCTTTCCCTCATGCCAGCGACGCTCCGCAACATCTTTCGAGTCGCATTGCGAGGAGAAGCTCTCCTCACCAATCCCCATTTCAACAAAGGGACCGCCTTTTCTTTGGAGGAACGCCGCGATTTCTGTCTCGGCGGCAGGCTGCCCTCCAAAGTTGCCACCCTAGACGAACAATGCCAAAGAGCCTACGATCAACTGAACAGTCAAGAGAGCCCCCTTCACAAAAATGGCTTCCTCCAAAGCCTCAAAGACCAGAACCGTGTTCTATATTTCGCACTACTGAGCAAGCACCTGAGGGAATTGATCCCCATCATCTACACGCCCACGGAGGTGCGACTCTTCGCTGAAGGTTTCCATCGGTTCTGAGTGTCATTTAGGCTGACGCGATTGCCAATTACTCCCATCTGTTTCGCCGGAGTGAAGGAATGTACCTTACGTTCCCCAACCAAGATTCCATGGAAGAGGACTTCTTGGAACAAACGCGGGGAAGGGAAATTGACCTTGTCGTATGCTCCGACGCTGAGGCGATTCTAGGCATTGGGGATCAGGGTGTCGGTGTGAGTGGACGCGGACCTTGATCTCAATCGTTTTCCTTGAAAATTCTTACAATCTGTAGGGCATCGGTGTGCGCAAGCCCCCAAATGTTGTGGGCAGTGTTCCCAGTAGCTGACTTGACTGAGATTTATAGATATCCTCCGCCAAGTCATCTATCTACACGTAAGCTCGTTCGACTCCTACGCCTCTCGCTGTTCTTATATCTACCAGATTATTGGCGGGAGTGAACCCTGCTCGATCCTTGGCGGTCACACTGGATGTTGGTACGGACAACGACAGTCTCTTGAACGACGAATTATACGTTGTGAGCCTTCCCTCTCCTCTAGCCTTCTGAATCCCACACCAAATTCCGTTGGTAGGGTTGGTCCAATAAACGCATCCGCGGAGAAGAGTACGACGCTTTTGTTGATAAGTGAGTCGGGAGATTCAGGTGGACTGCGCAGCGTGACAACACTTCGATACAGGTTTGTGCAGCTCGTTAGGAAGTACCATCCACACAGTTTATTGCATTTTGAAGACTTCGGAACCGCCAACGCCTACAGGTTACTGGAAAAGTACAGAAATGAACATGCAGTGTTCAATGACGACATGTGAGTGTGCTTAAGTCCCCGCCGCAGTAACTTCGACACCGCTTACAAAATCAAAGTCAAGGCACAGGAGCAGTTACTCTTGCGGCCGTCATGGCCGCCATTGGAGTAACTAAGACCAAACTTTCGGACCAGAGATTCATCATCTACGGTGCAGGCTCTGCCGGGCTCGGTGTAGCACGTCAGATCCGGGATGCAATGGTCTTGATTGATGGTTTTCCCGTCGGAGAAGCAAACAAGCGGTTTTGGATGATCGATCGATACGGTGTCATCAAGGAGTCGTTAGGACCCTCAAAAATTCGCCCTGAACTCGAGGAGTTTACGCGTCCAGACGATGAATGGGTCAATGTCCAGAATTCTGACAATCAAGTTGGTTTATTAGATGCGGTGAGACAGGTGAAGCCCACAGTGTTGATTGGGTGTTCGACCCACAATGGTGCCTTCACGGAGGACGTGATCAAGGAGATGGCCAAAGGAACAGAGCGGCCGATAATCTTTCCACTATCAAACCCGAGTCGACTAGTAGAAGTGGACCCGAAGGATGCGAACGACTGGACAAACGGCAAAGCTTTATTGGCCACCGGAAGCCCATTCCCGCCGTGCAAGATGCCGAACGGGAAAAACTACGTTATTGCGGAGTGTAACAGTGAGAAATCCAGATATACTATTATCTATGCGGGATTTTAACTCTAGTACGACCGCAGACGCTTTGATTTACCCTGGTATTGGGTTTGGGGCGGTTGTCTCCAAAAGCAAGACCTTGACCGATTCGATGATCATCGCCGCCACTCGCCGTCTCGCGTCCCTCTCTCCGGCCCTGAAAGACCCAGATGACGGACTCTTACCGGACTTCGGCGACTCTCCAGGAGTTAACTTAGAAGTTGCGATCGCCGTAGCTGAACAAGCCGTGGAGGAAGGACGGGCGGGGATCCAGTGTCAGAAAGAAGACGTGCGGAGGCTTGTGACTGATGCTCAGTGGAAACCGCTATACGCGGAATATGTGTACGATGCGAATGGAGAGAAGGAGTAGGCCCCAAGTAGGCCCTGTACTTATAGTTCGATCACGGATAAGGTTATTCCAGTTCAGCAATGCCTAGACAAATCTGAATAAAGGGGCGGCTTGCTGCTGATCTGCTTAAAGTCAGAGTTTACATCACAGCGACGTGGCGCAATGGATAGCGTGCCGGGCTCATAGGCACTCACCTCTACCCGGAGGTTCCTCGATCGAGACGAGGCGTCGCTATTTTTTCCCCCCGCAATTGGTCATCTTAGTAAACGTCTTTACGTAAGTGGTTGGAACGATGAGATTGTGACCTCATGCATCCGTTCGATGACCAAGGTAGCTTCCCACCCCCCTACGCCTTCAACCATGACTTCCACCCAGAAGGATAATGTCGTGGTCGTTGGAGGCGGTATATCTGGTGTTACCGTGGCCCAAGGGCTCTCAAAGAAGCTCGACCACCGCAAATTCAACCTCATTCTCATCGAGCCTCGTCCTTTCCACGTATGGCTTCCGGCCGCAGCCCGCATGGTGGTTACGAGCGACGAAAAGTTTGCGGAGACCGCCGTGTTCCCTTTCGACAGGGTCTTTGCAAAGGATAAGGGCACCGTCAGGCAGGACAAGGTTGTGAGCATCAAGACGGGCAAGGGGGAGGAAGCTGGCGAGCTTGAGCTGGCGAGTGGTGAAACTCTCCAATATCGGGGTGAGCACGCCTCATATGTCCGTCTCCTTTTGGCGCGTCTCATCTTGACGCTCCCTGGACCAGCTCTCGTTTTGGCAACCGGTTCTAAGTGGTCGGGACCCATCGACCTGCCTGATAGTGAAGCCGACTTCCGTAAATGCGTTACACAGTGGCGCGAGAAAATCAGAGCCGCCCCAGACATCGTCATTGTTGGCGGGGGTGCCGTTGGGGTTGAGCTCTCTGGCGAGATCAGAGATGAGTATCCAGTACGTCGTGCCATCAACGTGTTACGCCTTGGGGTTGATCTCCGTGTTTAGGAAAAGCATATTACACTCGTCCACGGGCAGGATAACCTGTTGAACGACACATACCCAGCCAAGTACAGGAATCGTGTCAAAGCAGGGGTCGCCGCTCGAAATATAGACTTGATGCTTGGCGAGTTCGTCACAGAATTTCCTCCTTCTGGATCCGGAGAGCTCGTCCTTAGGTCTGGGGAGAGGCTCAATGCCGGCCTTGTCGTAAGTTCGTGCTGTCTCGCCCTCTGAACGAACTCAATAGAATCATGACAGGTCATCACCTCGGGACCTAAACCCAACACTGGTTTCATTGGGACATCCCTCGGGCCCGAAGCGCTTACGGAAACCAAGCTTGTCAAAGTGGAAAAGACATTGCAGCTACGATCCCATCCCGCGATCTTTGCCGCTGGGGATATCGTCGATTGGAAGGAACAGAAACAAGCAGCGAAAGCTAACGGGCATGGGCCGGTTGTAGTCGCAAACGTGTTGAACCTTCTCGCGGGAAAGCCGGATCGGAAGGAGTATGGAGGGTTCCCTGAGATAATCATGATAACCAACGGAAGGGTAAGGAAGCGTAAACCGTTTTGGATTCTGTCATTTCTCACCCATGTTTGCAACCATAGAATGGAGGATCCGCGTACCTTCCTTACCTTTGGGGAATTGTGTTGGGTAGCTTCATCACGGTCCTCGTCAAGTCAAAGGGCTTGCTGATCTGGATGACTCGTGCGAAAATGGGTTATTGATTGCCGCGAATTACTTAGGGCTCGATTATTACTTTGTATGCCCACGAATCTCGGAATATCACGCAGTCCCTACTCGTATTCGGGATGAGCCTCGACGCTCGAGGTGGCTACAGTTGGTCAGCTGACAGTGAGGAGGACCATCTAGCCCCTGAATGGATTCGGATCAATCAAGGATGGTCACGAGATTGCGGGGTATAATAACCACTATGCCTGAGAGACGTCACTTCACCCACCGTTTCGCTACTCCATTTGCATCTCCATGAGCGAAACCAGCGCCGCACTCACTCATCTTCCGGCCGTTAAAGTCGGCGGACGTCGTCTCTCCGCTTCCAGACAGAAGCACAACCCACATAATGTCAAGTGCGTCCTCGAATCCCCGTTTGCAAGGCTCGTGTTTTTATTCCCTTGGCCGAGGCCAAGTTACTGCGAAAACATCCATTCTAACCCACGGTCATGCAGTGATCAGCTTCACACAGAAGCCAATCTGCAAGTTGAAGAGGATTCCGGGCCAGTTGATTATCCCCGTCCAAGTCCTCCGCCCGACTTTGTTCGTCGAGCCAAGCTCAATGTGGAAACCCAACTCGACCCCACTTCAAGTTCGGAGTCGTTGGAGGCTTCAAATCCCTTTGGCCACATTCACAACCAATACGAGGAGGAGTCTCCCAAGACCGAGAAGAAGAACCATCACCAGATGATGAACGACCTCGAAAAGCAGAGCCGTGCGTCGTCAAACTTGGATTCGAAACGGCCGACCAGGGACCACACCGAACAAACTAACCCTAAGAGGATCGACCAGCCAGCGGGAAAGGGGCGCTGAGCTCGAGACCCTCTCCAAATTGCTTGATGAACGTAGCGCTTGTAAAGGTTCATGAATGTTTTCTTACTAAGTGTACAGTGTAACGGATCAGAGGCCATATTGTCAACGGAATCGCACACAAGAATAAACAGAAAGTCCGATGGTGAATCTATATACGTCCATACGTGAGAGCTGCGCCCAGTATGACGTCCAGAGAATGTAACGGACCGTGAGCGAAGTGAAAACTACGAAATGGTGTCGCCCCATACTCTTTCCACCCACTCAACGGTCCTCATTAACGTCGATGCTGCAATGGAACACTGTTTGGAAAGGACAGGGTCTTCAAAACCTTTCGCCACTATGGGGATTTCCTTCTGCACGCACTGCAGTGGAGGGGATGGTGAGGAAACTCCCCCTTGGTGTTTGGGACGGCCACTGTGCATTGCGGGAGAGAGTTGCTCCTCGACAACGGGATTATTTAGTAGGGCCACGGACAAAGCGGCCAACAATCTCTTCTGGAAAAGGATGAACACCGGGTCGTCTGTGCGTAAGATACGGTCCACGGTGCTTCGTAGCCTTTGCTCCAGATGCCTATCAAGCGTCGTCACGCCAGGGGGTAGGGCACTGATATGTGTCATCACCACCTCGTCCGCGAGGTTGATGATCTTAGTCTCCGATGGTCCAAAGTCATTTTCCATGATCTCGGACTCGAGAAGAGTCCATATGCGCTGAGTGAACGTCCAGTTAGCGGGGGACTCGAAATCGGCCGTCCGAGAGTGCGATGGTAGTGAGTTGGGGGCTGTGTGAGGGGCGGGCACAAGAGACCTGAGCGACGCAGCAATAACGAGCGCCTGAACGCAGTTCTGAAGCCGGATCAAAGTAGGTCCAGAGAGCAGAAACTGAGGAGGGAGCATGTTTGGAGGTTCAGGATCGCGCTTTGCACTTGCGTCAGGATCAATATGATCTGAGCCGTTTGTTACTTCGTGCAAACGTGACAGACCGAAGAGTTGAGAAGTGACGGCGTGGGGTTTTCCCAGCGATTCAACGAGCTTGAGGATCCAGAGCTGTTTCTGTTGGACCTGCAGTGCGGGGTCTGCAGGCTGAAAGCCTTCCATCCACCGTGACCACCTCTTTTGCATCGCCTCCTCGGATTCCCAAAGCTGGAGAACTAATTTCCGTTCCTGGGCCTCAGCCATCATTGCCACCATATCGACCAGTTCTCGTTCGGATGCTTTTGCTAAAACCGCGTTAGAATAGTCGTTACGCATGTCGGTCGAAAGTGCGAACACGGATCGGATTCCATTGACGAGTAACTCTGCCAGTTCCCCCGTAGATGCTGAAGGTGATCGATGATCCAGCTGGTGTAGAATCTCATCAATGGTGGCATCGCGAACGGGAGCGCATCGTTGTCGCAGTGCCACGAGAACATCGTGTAGATGTGTGATAGCGGAGAGGAGCGGAGAGGTTGTGGGGGGGAGAGGGAGGGAGAAAGCGACCAGAGCCGGATGTTTGGATGGGAACAAAGGTGCTAGGACCTCATGAAGATCCTTGTACAGACCCTTGAGACGACTGATCTGTGAGGGTAGTGACGGGGAAGAAAGTGCTTCGAGAGCCTGATAAGGCGAACCAACATGAGCTAGCGGCCCAACAACTTTCACCGACGGAGCTTTACCTGGTCCCAAAATGCCTGATGCATGGTCTTTCCCACCGATTTCTCGATCGTGGATTCCGGAGGACTTGACTTGTTGATCCCAGACAGAACGGAGAGTAGAGACTTCCCTGGAGCCACCACTTTCTGTGGATCTTGGGCAAGAAGATGGAATAAATACGCCGCGTCGAGGGACGTGATCAGCGAGCTGGGGATGGCGGCACCTTCGGGTACGGACATCTGAAGCACGGGTGCGCTGAGAGGCGGAGAGGGCTCGGTCGCAACAGAAGGGCCAAGATCTGGACCCTCCTTCGTAGCTGGTCCTCCTAGATGCATTGGAAGAGAGTGACTGGAGTTGCTCGGTCAGCCTGAGTGCTGCGACCGTTTTACCTACACTCGGATGAAATCTCCGATGGATCGATCGACAAGATATCACGTGAAGCTTCTGCCTGTAACCGGCAACAACGGGGACTCGAACTTTTGGACCTTCAGGCCTTCAGGTCTCTGGTGGTCATGAGCGAGCCACACCCGACAATCACCATTGACCTTGTGCGTCCCTTTGGAATCATGGTCTCGAACGATTGCTGTACAGTTGATTGAAAGCTCAGGTCTTAGATCGGCATCTGACCAAGGATGTCCTCCGCGCCATCTTGCACTCGATTCTATTCCACAGACTCTTCGGAACCGTAAAACCCAAGATATTCGAGATTCTTGATGTAACGATGGTACGTTTCGCATGATCTCCCAAGAGAAGCTCGCCCACTGGTGTCTTTGACAGCCCGGGGTAGCCGACCCAGACATGGAGAGCCTCGTCGACGAGAAGGTGGACGCCTTTTGGAAAGGAGTCGATGGTGGAGCAAGCAAAAGCGGTCAGATAATCGTCACGTTTTCAGAAAAGAAGCAAAAGAAGACGACGTGGTTCCAAGTGTACGCTGGAGAGGTGCATCTCTCCTCGTCCTTTTCTACTCCTCAGCTGCTCATCATGACTTCACAGGAGGAAGTCCCATGGGAACAATGGTACTTCAGAACCTTAAAATAGCGCACATGTTCTAACCGTTTCTCACAGGATTATCAGCGC